GGTGAACAAATTACTATTGAGCACTGATAGAATTGAGCATAGTTATGAGAATATCTAGGTATGATCATGTATATAGGAATCACGTCCAAGACAAGTAGACCAACTCCTGCCTGTATCTACTACTATTACTCCACACATCGACCGCTATCTAGCATGCATCTAGAGTATTAAGTTCATAAGAACAGAGTAACGACTTAAGCAAGATGACATGATGTAGAGGGATAAATTCATGCAATATGATAAAAACCTCATCTTGTTATCCTCGATGGCAACAATACAATACGTGCCTTGCTGCCCCTACTGTCGCTGGGAAAGGACACCGCAAGATTGAACCCAAAGCTAAGCACTTCTCCCATTGCAAGAAAGATCAATCTAGTAGGCCAAACCAAACTGATAATTCGAAGAGACTTGCAAAGATAACCAATCATACATAAAAGAATTCAGAGAAGATTCAAATATTGTTCATAGATAAACTTGATCATAAACCCACAATTCATCGGTCTCAACAAACACACCGCAAAAGAAGATTACATAGAACAGATCTCCACAAGAGAGGGGGAGAACTTTGTATTGAGATCGAAAAAGAGAGAAGAAGCCATCTAGCTAATAACTATGGACCCGAAGGTCTGAGGTAAACTACTCACACTTCATCAGAGAGGCTATGGTGTTGATGTAGAAGCCCTCCGTGATTGATGCCCCCTCCAGCGAAGCTCCGGAACAGGCCCCAAGATGGGATCTCGTGGATACAGAAAGTTACGACGGTGGAATTAGGGTTTTGGCTCCGTATCTGATTGTTTGGGGGTACGTAGGTATATATAGGAGGAAGAAGTACGTCGGTGGAGCAACAGGAGGCCCACGAGGGTGGAGGGCGCGCCTGGGGGGGTAGGCGCGCCCCCCTACCTCGTGGCCTCCCTGTTGGTTGCTTGACGTAGGGTCCAAGTCTCGTGGATCATGTTCGGTGAGAAAATCACGTTCCTGAAGGTTTCATTCCGTTTGGACTCCGTTTGATATTCCTTTTCTTTGAAACCCTAAAGTAGGCAAAAACGGCAATTCTGGGATGGGCCTCCGGTTAATAGGTTAGTCCCAAAAATAATATAAAAGTGTATAATAAAGCCCAATAATGTCCAAAACAGTAGATAATATAGCATGGAGCAATAAAAAATTATAGATACATTGGAGACGTATCAGGGGGCGTCGTCCCCATCGTTCTGTCCCCGGAATACTCCCATGCTATGTACTTGGACTTATCGAAGAACCTCAGGAAAAAGGATTACAAGCACATAAAGAGTGTTCTCGATAATGCCATGTTAACCTTCAGCCTATCTAGTGGATATATCAAGGTGAAAAAGTACAGGAATTGCAGGCTGGCTTTCGGTCATAAGACCAACTTTTGCTGCATCCAGTAACCGCACACCAGTATGGCTGATGGATTCTACCTCATGCATCACCTGCTCGAGTACAGAAGGGATAATCAACGCCTTCACATGTCACCTACTACCAACGATGCTGAGATTGTCAGCTGGGCCACAAGCATAGGAAGGACACCGGATCATCGAATCAGAGCTGAGTTTTATCACGTACAGTGTGAACTTGCCCAAGTGATCATGAAGCAGGTCCTCGAACCAATAGGGATGTTCTACCATGGGCCAATCACGTGAGAAGATGTCCAAGCACTGCACTCGCTCAACATCTGGACCTGAAACCTTTCAAGAAGCTCGGGTGCTTCCTCCTTGACTATGAAGATCGGACCGCCGACATGGAGGACTGATTGTCGATGACAATGTGTCAGTACTATCTTTCTATGGCAAAACTTCAAATTTATGCATGGCGAAACTATGTGATGTAACTAAACCGTGGTCCTGAACTAGCGTAGATCGCTCTAGTTAATTAGTTTGGGTATGAGGAACTTTGTCATTTATGTTTACTATTGGTTGCTTGTATTTTGCTAATTATGCCTCTTTGTTTTCTTAAGTACATTATGTTGCATATTATCGTTCAATTCATCAACTCATGATGCAGGTACATAGATCAGATATGGCGAAGAACTACTATGCCATGTACGTTGGGAGGGTTCCAGGAGTCTACGGCCACTAGTCAGCCGCTCAGGCCCAGGTGCATAGGTACCCAGGTGCTAGCCACAGAGGGTTCGACACCAGAGCCAAAGCGGAGAGTAGTTACTTGAGGTGGACACTCCAGCATGAGCAGAGGCGGGACTGTCGGTACTACCTACTCGCGCTCTTGCTCATGCTGAACGCTCTTCTCTTCTACATCATGGTTTAGATAGAGATGATGAAACTTGTGTGTGTGTGCCATGACCATGCAGTTGCACTTATTCGAGACGTGACATGATCGCACTTGTGTGTCGCTATTTTTGAGATGTGATGATATTTGTGTTGAATGATGATGATGATGGTATGACGAGACTACCGTATGCCTATGATATGTGGGAATAGTGTATGTTTAGTATGATGTGATGAAACTATTGTATAGAGCCTGTATAAACACATCACAAATACGTAGAGGGGTGCAAATCTATGAAAGCAAGAGTATTAGCAGTAGCGCTGGAAAGCACCTACTAGAAGTGCTAGCTTAGCAGCAGCGCTTCATCTGAACAAGCGCTACAAATAGTTATCAGTAGCGTTGTTCGGGGAAGCGCTACTGCTAACAATACTTACCAGTAGCGTTGTCCGTACCAGCGCTACTGCTACAAACTTAGTTGTAGCATGGTAGCAGTAGCGCTGGACCCAGGCGCTACTGCTATGCATATTTCAAGTGCTACTACTAGGGTTTTCCCTAGTAGTGAATGATGCGTGTTACACCCATTTCCCACCCACCGCCCTCAATTTTCACCCAGTTTCCTGCCGGAGCATGTCCTTTCATGGGTAGATAAAGCAATACACCCCCTCAGGGTGCCACTAGTCACCCATTTTGGTCGTCACCACCACATCTTTTACTCACTTGTCCACCTTTTACTCAATTTTCAACCTTACATGTCTTCGGCCAACATGATTCGATGTTGGAAACAAGATCGATGGTGGATGGGCCAAAAAATCAACGTCCTTTTCAGGCAGCTCCAAGATCTTACTTGATATCGAGATCTGAAGATCTGGCATCTGCTACTCCTGGATCTGGCAAGGTGCCAAACCAGAGAAGATCATCCCTCCTCAGCAGTCTGGGGTGTACTCCATTTTGTTGAATCTTATTACCCGGACTAGAGAGAAGGCCTCGGCCTGGCCGAGGTGACCACTTGAGTTGGAGACAAGGGTGACGCTGCAGAAGACGAACAATTGGCCCTGCACGAAGATCGCAGCGGGACCGATCTGACCATTCATGTGCACTCCCCACATGCCACGACATTCACCTAGCAGGACCTACAAGGGCCACCACTGTCAGAGCTAAATCTGGCAGACTCCTCGGTAGGGTATCCTTAGTATGGTATTTGTCAAGATGGTAACAGAAATAAGGGTTTTTACAAGTTCAGGCTCTCACATTGGACATAATACCCTACATCCTTCTTTTGTTTTATTGCGTTGGGGTATATACAAAGTACAAAGTATCGAGAGATTGTCAGATGATCTACGAGAAACCCAACCCTCAGCATATATAGCATACCTAGAGTCCTCGAGTTTCCACAACTAGGTTGGCTACGTCTAAGGAGGTAGAACTCCCCAAGACTTTGTCTTCTTGTCTTGTATATCAAGCCTTTGAGGAATCGCCAAGTATATCGTCATGGCCTGCCCAAAGTGGCCCAGGATGGAACCGACAAAGCGGTACTCAGACAAGCCCACCAGACCGGGAACTGATGCCATCAGAGGCCCCTTAGACAGGACATCGTCACTCAGTAGTGCATGTTACTAGTTTGATATGGAATTACTCTATCAACTTGGATATATTTTTCAAGTATATACCAGCATCTTGGATGTAATGTTTATTTACTAATAATGCATGCGTGAATATACATAATTATTATGAGGATAGGATTCTCCATCCCTCACGGCATGGGTGGTCGTCTGATCTAGCCTACCTACATAATGGTGTTAAGTGTTGATTATAGAATATGCTATAAAAAACTACATCAGTTATTATAGGTTGATATGATCTCTGTTACTTTGTTCCTCCAATTATTTTGAAGATGAAAATCATATGTGAGCCCTCTTTTTTCCTTGTAAAATCACTTAGCAGACTTTATTAAGCTAAAAAGATATGTGTTTTGTGCAAAGCTATTTGGGTGAGTTTTATTTTTGAATTGTGCTAGTTTATTGATGGATATTTTTTTAATTTAGAATTTTGGTGTTAATCTATCTGATAAAAAATAGTTTCACCAGTGTACACGTTGGGTGTCATGCGCTATACATTGCCGGTAGTCGGTAGAGGCCATATGCCAAGTTTTCCTAGGGAATAGGTCGCCTTGCAAGATTCAAAAGGTATTTGCGCGCCAAGATAAATAATAATTGCCATTATGGCCTTTGAGAAGAACTTGGTGAATGTTATTAAAGTAGAAACTCGATTTCTGCTAAAATGCGATACATATTCAATTCCACCTCAATGAATGTAAAGATCTTCTTGGAGGGAATTAAATGTTTATGTTGTTACTACGATTTGAAAAATTAATGAGCATATATATCTCTTATAAGTGTGTATATATATATATATATGTGTGTGTGTGTGTGTGTGTGTGTGTGTGTGTGTGTGTGTGTGTGCATGTGTGTATAGTTACTGGGGTGTGTGTACATATATGTGTGTAAATATATGCTATACTAAGTGTGAGTGTAGAATAGCTTATTCTACACCCCAGTAACGATACATACAAAATGTAGTAACGCAATATATAAAATATAGTGATTTTTCTAAAAATATAGTAAAATACAAACTTGGATAGTAAAACTAATATTTTTAAAATTACTATAGATTTATCTCTATATATAGTCTGCATCTTTCGATGCTTTCGCAAAAATATATCGGCAAAGCTTTAGTTGTCAACCTGAGCTAGAGCACCAACAATGGCGAGGCATACTACCCTCCTCCTCGTGGCAATAGTAGCCATACTCGTCACTGCCACCGCCGCCACCCTGGTCAAGGCCCCAGCCCCCGCAGACAAGCCGATGGCATACGAAATGCTAGGGCGATATGGCTTCCCACCGGGCATCCTCCCGGAGGGAGTGCATGACTACGAACTCCGACTGGATGGCTCCTTTGAGGTACACTTATCCGATGAATGCAAATTACGTATCGACAGCCAGTACGACGTCCACTACAACACTCGGGTCACCGGGAACATAAAAAATGACACGATCAGCGGCCTCAAAGGCATTGAGGTGAAGGTCTTTATTGCGTGGGTCAGCATAAAGGAGGTCGGCCGCGATGGGGATGAGCTTAGGATGCACGCCGGGATGATATCCAAGTCATTCCCGGTCGATGCTTTCTCCTCTAGCCCGAAGTGTAACTGAGGCTCGACTGCAAGATCGACACAAGTGTCGCCACCCGAGTCTTCCTCTTCGATCACGTTGCTTAATGTTTCCTTCTTTCTTCGTAGGATTGATGATGCATGCGGCTGTCGCTGCTTGTTTTGCAACCCCATGCCATCTTGCCAATTCATGTACTCCCATTGTTGTATGGGTTGAGACCAAGTGATATTAAATGGTGCCTTATGTTCGTGATTGCAAAATTCATTTGTGAGATTTCAATTAACGAGGTGCTGGACGGTGAATGCGTTATCTGATCAAAGAAGGTATAATCGTATTGTGGCACAAATGGAAACTGTCACTTAATTAGCTCTCGGCATCATCTTAGATATAATTGGAATTTATTTGATCTTGAAGATAGCTTTACCGCATTTCCCATGTGGTATCTTTTTTGCAATAAAACTTTTGATCTATTAGTGCTGCCATGTCAGCCTTGGAGTGAGCCAAAGGGGCACCGTCGTCATCGTCCCTTCCTCATCGGAGTTAGGCCAAACATGTTTTATTAGACAGTCGGAAAGTCATGGTATTAAGGCCCCACGGGATCAACGCACCAGAACAGTAAACATCGCGTATGAAAAGAACTATAGATTGAAAGGATCCAACATAATGACACACGAACGAAGATGAACACAGACTGGATCCATGCAGATCCACCAAACACTAGCACCGATTGAAACTCATGAGACCTGCCAGAAACACACCAGCACATGCCATTTGATGATGCTAGATGCATCTGCCAAAATGGGCGCTAGGTAGGGACAAACTTATTCCATCTTTAGAGTGACACCGTCATGGTCTTTCGGAGCAAGACACAAACCTAAGCAAACTCACAAAAACACCAGATGGGGCAAGATCCCTCCCGCCGGCAAGGGCCAGGGTCCACCACTCCTTCATAAAGATATTGATAGATACTTGCATATAGAAATTGACAAACACATGTTGGTGTGTGACCTTGAAAAAATAAACATAGAATATTCTACACACTCCCTCTATTTTAAATTAATTAAAAATGTAAATTCATCCTAATTGAAAAAAATGACCAAAAATTGTATCATCATCTACAACATGATATTCTAAAAATATGTCCGTACTGCATCTATTTGATGGTGCATATTTTAGCACATGTTTCTGTAGATTTTTTCAAAAGTTTAACTTGGAATATATCTAGATCTTTAATTAATTTGAAATTGGGTAAGTAATATTTAATGCTTGCATGCAGTGGCGGAGTTTTGGGATTTTTTTTCTTTAGAAGACTGTGGTAATGGGCTGATTCAATTTCATTCCTAAATATGTTGGCCAATTGGCAAGCGGTACATTTGTTCTTATTGGCTGGTGGGGCAGGTGGGCAGCCAAGACTGTTCTAGAATGTCTGCCACAGCTTGCATGCCTCAAAAAAAATGAGTTGATGAAATTTAATTCCTCTAGAAAAATTAAATGCAATTGTGAGCCGTGTGAAGAGGGGTAAATATTTCGCATGTAAGGCTGGGTGTGTCAACCTAAACACGCATTTCCCGTTATTACATGGGCCAGCCCACTCGAGACACTGTATTGTTTCCTGCTTCCCTTGTTACGAATGTCTTGGTTTATTTGGGCTTTTCTGTTCTTCTTTCTTTCTCTCTTGCATTTTTATTTTGAATTTTTATTTTCTGTTTATTTTAGTTTTTTCTTAGAAACTTTCCTTTTTCTTTTTTTATTCGTGAATACCTTTTAAATTTTAAATGCTTCAACTAAAATTGGAAATTTTGTTTCTAGTTCATGAACATTAGTTTTAATAAATTATTTAAATTCATGAACTATTTTAAATTACCTAAATTTTGAAATTTTCAATTATTTTCATATTGGTGAGCTTTGTTGAAATACCTTTTCATTAAAAAAATGTGAACATTTTAAAAAAATTAACATGTTAAATTTCTGTAATATTTTACAATTATTGAACACTTTTGTGCATTGTTTTTAAAATTCAAGAACATTGTAAAAACTATCGTCACCATTTGTAAAAATTAATGTAGTTGCAAGAAGAAAAAACCAACTGAAAAAATTGTTCAGCCCATCGCTAGCATATAATAAAACTGACCGAACTAACAACCCAAAGTACGTAGAGTGGTAAATGGTCTGGTTCACAACGCCAACATGATTTTCTGTTTGGTCAACGACCCGATCCCTATGTGCGGAACGTGACGTCTCGTGAAATGTTTGACATGTGGCACAACTGAGGACCCATGGTAGTGCAACACTATTTGGCACCTGTACGTGACTACATGTACGATTTTGTGACCATTTTCATCGTCTTAGTTTCAAAGTTCTACTTCCCCTTTGAACTTCTTTACTAGCACGGACAACTATAATGTATGCAGTTTCACAAAAATTAATATAATAATTGTACTCCCTTCATTCCGAAATACTTGTCGCAGGTATGGATGTATCTAGATGTATTTTAGTTCTAGATACATCCATTTTTGCAACGAGTAATTTGGAACGGAGGGAGTAGATATTAGTGTAAACAAAGGAGCCTACTCAGAAAAGGGGGACATGAGAAAAATAATGGCAAAGAACTGGCGGTCTTAATGAGATCATCTGATAGCTCTAGCAAAATCAAGTCATATGTACGCCGATCACAATACTAACCGTTGTTTTTTGTTCGAGGCCCAAAATTAAGTCTTGTAGAATTGCCATAACGACCTTGGCCTCCATACTTCTTGCAGGCCGCTTCAAATCGAGCATGCGAGCCTATAAATTTGTTGACTGGAGGGGTTCTGATATGGAGCGGGCACCAAACCCAACCGCTCGCGAAGGAGTGAAGTTTGATGCCATCTTCTTCCTTCTGTATCCAGTCCTGCCAATGATGCATTCATTCGTACGTCTGCCACCTTGACTCCTGGCAATAACACAACAACTTTTGCACTGATAAGAGCACCCATTAATGACAAATGATGTATGTCGCACCCATTTACCAACCATGACCGGCAATTCTAACCCCATTTCCTCTCGAAGCATTCCCTTTTGCGAGTATATAAACCGGCCCACCCGCTCAGGGCGCCACTACACACCCATCTTTGTCGTCGACGCCACAACCCCCCATATCTGCCATGTCGGGGAAGTGGAGCCCTCCTACAGGATCTTTCCCCTGCGAGACCGAAGAGGACAGTGCCGAGAGAAAGTTTTGTGAGAGGGTCTGGTCGTGGTCTGAGTGGGTCAAGGAGGATTGGCTCGATCAGGCTGAATCAACCCTTGGGATGGAGCGCTTCCCCGCCGCCACCGCTACCTTGCCTTCATGACACTACGGTCTTGGTAGAATGGGAATCCGCACTCGCAGGGATACAATGTTGTAGCTTAGTCCCGCAACAATGACACACATGTGTCCATAGACCGCCTGACTGCGGAAGTGGAAGAACACGAAGACCTCATCTCTGATGTCACTTCCAAATAAATGAAGAGGCCGCCCTAGATATTTACGATTCAATAAATTAGTTGTATTTTGATTTTGTTATTTGAAATCATGCTAGTAAGAATTGTGGAAATCAAGTTCAAAGCAAGCTTGAATTTCAATCAATTGTTGTTGATGAGATGCAGAAGAAAAAGTTCTTATTAGCCCACGACAAATGTGTACCACCAGCAACAAATTTTGGAAGGCTTTGTTTAGAGCATCTACAGCCGGGCCTCTCATACTTGTCTCAAACACCCGGACAACCCGTCCGGTCACTGACCGGTCAAAAAAAAATCGACCCAACCAAAACCTCTCAAACCACGGACAAATGCCCGGGCTGACTGGCACCCCTCATATCCGGCCCAAATATAGGGAGGATATGGGGACGCCCGGGCATGCCCGGTGCACCCACCTGACAGGCCCTAGCTCCAACGACCCCATAGTTGTCCCACAAAAAACCCCAATCCGGGCACCTCGCTCCAAACCCTAGCTCACCCTCTCTTTCGCCGTCCACTCCTCTCCCTTTCCGATTCCGATCCCATCCACTACGATGACCAGCTCCGGTAGCGATTCCGGCTTCGAGCTCGACTACAAGGATGAGATGGCCCTCTGCATTGCACTGGAGCGGTCCAAGGTGGAGACTGGTGGAAGCTCTGGATCTGGAGCGTCACCGCAGCTCCCGCCCCAGCACAGTGCGGACGCCGGAGCAGGACCCTCCCAGCCCGCACACAGCAACGCCAGGATAGGGCAGTCCGCACAACCCCTGCGATGTCTCCTACCCCCGTCGGCCGCTCCTCCACATGGCCAGCGGTGGGTGCTTGTGGCCGCACCGTCGGCCGCACGCGCACTCCGAAATCAAAGGTGTGCACTGCACGCCACGAGGGAGTGCACGGGAGGGACGCAGCAGAGCATTCCACACACCGTCGCCATGGGATGGAGGCGAACCCTGATGAGGATGTTCGTCTCGTCGCATGGGTGTACCGCCGGTCCCTCGCGACGGAGGAGATGGATGCTCGCCACCTCCGACGGAAGAACGCCAAGGTGCTCCAGCTTGCTATTAAGCAGTCGGAGCGCGAGACGAAGGAGGCAGCGTGGGAAAAGGATCGGGTCGCCAGGTGGAAGCGGGAGCAAGACAGGGTGGTCCGTCGGATGTAGGGGCTCATCGTCTGCTCCGACTCCGACGACGGCGACAGCTGCACCTCCTCGTCGGACGACCAAGACCCTCCACCAGCCGCGGACGACTACA